TATATATATATATATGCTCTCATTTAATCTTCTCAACTCCCAATTATTATACCTTTTTAACAGAGAAGTAAACTGATGCTCAGACCTCTTACCCAAGGTCCCTCAGTGAACCTAAAACTGTTCTGACACTGAGACAACAACAAGAAAAATACAAAACCAGACATGGACCTCAAGGCAGTTGGGGCTGTTTGGCCCTACCCACTCCCTGGGTCCTAAGGGTCACAGCTCAGTGTGATTTGAGTCACCACAGTGATGACCATGAGTCAAGAAAAGGCTGATAGCCATCAGGCTTTATATAAAGAGGCACTGAAGCCAATTCTAAGGCTCTGTCTAAAATGGGCCACAAGTATTCTAAAGTGTTAGAATAAGCATCATATACGTGGATGCCCTTATTCCCCTCAAATTCCAGACTTCTGAGCATATTCAAGGTGAAGGAGCGTTATATGCATAATAGGTCTTTCCCACATTGCCATGGTTGAAGATACCTCCTCATTACCTCTTAATCTCATGGTTGTTTGCATTATTTTAGCTACAGGAACTAAAACTCCCAAGTCAGCAGAAAGTTTTCATTCTGGACCTATTCAGGACTCAGAATATTGCCACAATAACCATCATGTCCTTGCTGCTCTGGTAAGTAATAAGTGATCTATGAACGCGACACGTAGCACCTAAGTATACAACTGATTTTCTCTAATTCACAGGAACGTCAGGGCAAGGACTGAGTCTTCCTGAAACAAAATAAAAATTATAGAATTCTAAGTTATTTGGAAATGCCTCCATTCAATTCATGGAACATGGATGCTGAAAAAAAAGTCACAGGGAACAATATTTAAGCCTGCAGTACTGTGGCCCACAGGGAAAGGGTCCCTCCCCTCCTAAAGTAATTGGGATTAATAGTAATAATGGTGCTGGTGGCTGAAACTGAGAAGCTAATTCAACTCCTGCTTCCTGACGCTGTATTAGCAATAGAACAGTGACATAGAACAACAATGTTCCTGAAAACATTTTCTAGATATCCTCTGCTTTTTGGTCATGTTAATCGTAAGCAAATTTCTGCACAAAGGAGCCTGCAAGATGCAGTTATTTTTATACAGAAGAGCTTTGTGGTTCCGTGGAAGTTGACTGTAAGGACAGGATATGCAGTGTGTACTCTGTGATACTTTGAACCACTATGGGACTTTCATTCTCTCCCTGAAAGTGAGTTTTAATAAATGGATTGGAATTCACCGAAAGTGAATCCCACAGTATTGACTATGTGTCCTTGTTTTTCTTTTCGGTAAGAATAAAACCTGGATTTTGTGTGCACTGACATGACTGACGGTTTTTCTTCAAATAATAGTTGTAAGGGAACGAGGATGTACAAACTGTTCAGGAAATATTGAAATCTGAAATTAACTAGACCAGGGTAGGTGTTGTTGAATGTTGGTATAGCTAGACTAGTGCTGTCGAAGAGAACTCTCCACAACAATGAAAATGTTTTATGTCTGAGTTGTCCATCGTAGTAGCCACTAGCCACATGCGGTTATCAAGCAGGTGAAGTGTGGCTAGTGTGACTAAAGAACTGAATTTTTAATTTAATTTCATTTAAATTGATTTACTTTTAAAAGGCCATATGTGACTAGCGGCTACTTACAGGACAGAAAGATGGAGACAATTTCTTGACCATCATGGAATTATGGAGTGGTTCAAGCTATCCTCTTGTCATTTTTGCCTTTTTTCTTTTGTCTTTCAGGATGCTAACCTCAGTGGGTTACTTTGCTCTGTCTCTCAACGCTCCTAATTTACACGGAGATGCCTATCTGAACTGTTTCCTTTCTGCCTTGATCGAAGTTCCAGCTTACATCACAGCCTGGTTGTTGCTTCGAACCCTGCCTCGGCGTTACATCATAGCTGGAGTACTGTTCTTGGGAGGAGGCGTGCTTCTCTTAATTCAGTTCGTACCTGCAGGTAAGAAGTTAACCAATATTAACAGCTTACCAGAAAAGATCCACACCTTGACTGGACTAATCATTAGTCACTGCACCCTGTTTGTGATGCCCTTACATCATAAGGTCTTCGTAAGTCCACCGGACAAACGACAGCTAACTACATAATTTCCTGTGTTCATAACAACTCCCCTGAAATGGGGGTCAGCCTCAGAGCATCAGACATCACTGCCTGAGAGGAAGACAAATGCCATCAGTCATCCCCTTGGTGCTTTCAGACCTCTTCCCTGAGGAGCATTTTCCAGTTTGCAGCGTGTAGGACATGCCAGTTCCAATATAAGTCAGTGATTTTTAGGGTCTGTGATCCTGAAGTAGTTAAAGAGCACACTGAATACATTTGCTTCTTTTTTCTCCTTATGCCTAACTTTCTCATATTATTAAAATGTTGTCAATAGATCATTGATAACATAGTATTAGACAGAGAAACATATATTTCTTTAATAAGAATAAACAGGATAGAAAGGATTGATCCTTCTCTTTGAAGATTAAACTTAACTATATTAACATGCTAACAATTTACCATGAAACCGTTGTAACAAAAGTGGACAAAGGTCACTGACTGCCTAAATGATCTAGAGTAACAGTTGAGCAAAACAGAAAGCAACCCCCCGCTCTCCATCTTCGCTTGTGTCCGATTATTAAGATATTTGAAGAGAAAGTGTTACTTGGGAATATCTTTCTTTCTTTCTTTCTTTTTTAAGAAAGAGAGAGGGGGGAAGGAGAATGGCAGAGGAAAAGGGAGAGAGAGAATCTTAAGCAGGTTCCACACTCAGCGCAGAGCTGGCGCGCAGGGTTTGATCGTATGATCCTAAGATTGTGACCTGAGCTGAAATCAAGAGTCGGAAGCTTAACTGACTGAGCCATCCAGGTGCTCCAGGAATATGTTTATATTATAAAAACATTGCTGTACAGGCAAAAAGGACAATGAAAGAACTGAGTTACAAAGTCTTACTTCTAAAAGCACCTCTGTTTACGCTGGGTCTCTTTTCCAGATTACAACTTCTTGTCCATTGGTCTGGTGATGTTAGGAAAGTTCGGGATCACCTCTGCTTTCTCCATGCTGTATGTCTTCACTGCAGAGCTTTACCCCACCCTGGTCAGGAACATGGCTGTGGGGGTCACATCCATGGCATCCAGAGTGGGCAGCATCATTGCTCCCTACTTTGTTTACCTCGGTGAGATGCATCTTGTCAATTTGTTCTTTTTTTAAATATAAAGGAATAGATTTTTCATTGTGAAAAATGCAAACAGCACAGAAAGTACTGGAAAAATTACAAGTTCACCTCTTCTCTCCCGGCTCCCCAGACTGCAGCCCTAGAAGTAGCTAATATTAACATTTTGGTGAGTAGCCCTTCAGACATTTTGTTTTGCAAAACATATATATACACAATAAAATTAAACACATAAACAAAATTATATATATTGTTTCACAACTTTCTTAACATTGTATCATATATCGCTTCTACCTTCTTTTTAGTTAGTATATATTCTTCCAATGTATGTATATACATAGTTTAACTAGGCTCAATGGATGGACATTTAGGCCATTTCCAGGTTTTTGTTATTACACATAACACTGCAATGAACATTCCTCTATCCCCCTAAGGCCCTTTGTTCATTTAATTACATACACTTGGATTCATGGATTGTTGGAGCAATTTAAAATTTTCATAGATATTGCCAAACTGACCTCTAAGTATTGTACTAATTTACAATCCAACTATCAGTATATGAGAGTGCCTATTTCTCCATATCCTAACAATGGAGATGATCCAATTTTTTAATCATTTGGTAATCTGTTATCTGAAAAATGGATATCATTATTGCTTTCATTTCTAATTCTTTAAATAAAGTTGAGCATTTTTTTAAGATTTATTTATTTATTTGCGAGACAGAGGGAGTGCAAGAGCACATGCTCATGTGAGCTGGGGGAGGGATAGAAGGAGAGAATCTTCAAGCAGAAGCCCTGCTGAACGCAGAGTCTGATGCGGGGCTCGATCTCAAAACCCATGAGATCATGACCTGAGCTGAAATCAAGAGTCAGACACTTAACCGACTGAGCCGCCCAGGAGCCTCTGATTTGTGAGAGTTCTTTGTAATCGAAACAAACTAGCCCTTTGCATATATGTTGTAAATATTTTTCCTAGTTCATCATTTACTTTAGATTTTATGATATTTTAGGAAGTTTTAGTTTTTATATAGTCAGATTTCTCAATCTGGAATAATACCACAGGGGGGCTTCAGTGGGTTGCTCAATGGTTGTGGGATCTCACACTCCAAGCCTAAGCCCCATTAAGGACTCTGCTGGTGAGAGATGCTGATAACGTGTCCTTATTCTTCCTAGTCATCCGTGGGTTCAAACACACTGGTTCTGATTGGTTCAAACACGCACACAAACAAATACTCTATCTAAATCCTCAGCAAAGGTACACCCTAATCTTTGCAGATAAAGTGAAACATTTTCTTATTTTAAACATACTCTGCACGGCTACCCTGAATAAGCCCTAAGAAAACACATTATAATATAGAATGGTGTTGTTTTCCCTTTGTTCCTCCCTCTACTTTCAAGCCACGCTCACTTGGTCTAAGGTGGACCATTGGGTACGGAAGGAATGGAAGAGTCTGAGACAGATCTTTCTGTTCCACAACAGCTACTCCTGTTAGTGACATAGACGCCTCAGAGAAGCTTCCAGATTAATGTTTTCTGACAAATAAAATCCTTGGGTGTGCTATTCCTCTGTAATCTGTTTGCAGAAAGGAAGCAAAATGAGGCTCTATTATTCTCCTGTCCAAGTAACACCAGATAGTGAAGAGGTGGAATGGTTCTTGCAATTACATTACAAAACCAAGACACGTAAATGTTGCAAAAAGAAACCAAATCCAGGTATAGTGCATTCACTGTGCCTGACATTTAGTGATTGAAATTGGATTGAACATATTACTTAGGTTTTTTTTTAATTTTTTTAAGAGTATCATGGATCTTTGGACCTAGCGGTCCACTGCAGCCTACTTACTAGTTCAGGCAAAAGCAATGGTCACACCAGTCATCATGGCCAGTACCTGTCCCTGCGATATCCTTTTTCTCCTTGATGTCCGCTCATCCCCCATCTCTAATGACTTCCACCTTGAGAGGGAAAAGTTGGTAGACGAAGACTTCCATCAAAGGAACATCTGTCACACATGGTTAAAGAGTGGCTTGGAGAATGCCAACCGGCATGGAAGACCTTATGATAATGCAAAATCACGTAGGGAAATGATTATGGGAATCTCAGAGGTAATGGCTTCTACCAAAAAGAAACTGTGATCTTTTGCATACCTTTTTCCTTCTGACAATGTTCAGGTTTAAAACTGCTCTCAAATACTGTTTGCCACCATTACAAAATAATTCCCAGGGACATCTGGAGAATCCCCGTATCTAATTGATGTTCTTGTGCCTTCCAGGTGCTTACAACAGAGTTCTGCCCTACATCGTCATGGGTAGCCTGACTGTCTTCATTGGAATCATCACCCTTTTCTTCCCGGAAAGTTTTGGAATGACTCTACCAGAGACCTTAGAGCAGATGCAGAAAGTGAAAGGGTAAGTGGAACTTTAAAAACTGGTAGCAAAATTCCTCAAAATTCCTCAGAATAAACATGCAAGAATAGCCAGGAAATTTCTGAAAAAGCAGAGTAGTAAGTAGAGAGTAGCTCTATCAGATAATAAAGCATATTACTAAGCAGAGGTAATTAAAACCATTATGATAAGGGTGTAGGAATCGAAATCACTGGAATAGAATAGAGTTCAGAATTAAATCCAAGAAACTATGAGAACTCAGTCTATGCTAAAAAGTTGCAATTCAAAATCAGTGAGAAAAATTAGATTATTCAGTAAAGGGTGTTAGAGAATTCAGCTAGTCACATTGGTTAAATAGAAAACTTGCACCCTTCTCCAGAATAAATACATCAAGATAAATTGCAGAGTGATTAAAAATTGAGGACTAAAAATGTAAAATCATAAATGTACCAGAAGAAAACATATGTTATTTTTGTTATTTTTGTAACCTCAGAGAAGGCCTTTCTGAGCGTGATATGAAACGCAAAGAGACGTAAAGGAAAAGATTGCTACATCTGATTATGAAACTTTAGAAGTTCTTGGCACAGCAAGAAAGGAAACCATAAATAAAAACAAAGGTCAAAAAGCCAGGGGAGAAAATATTTGCAACACACAATATACACCTGGGGCTAATACAGCTAATATACACGAAACTCTCAGCAGTCAGTGGGAAAAAGACAACTCAGTAGGAAAATTGGCAAAGGTCATCAACAAGCGGTTAACAGAAACGGATGTTTCAGTGGCAGGTATATACACGAAAAACGATACTTGTCCACATTAATAAAGAAATACAAAATAAAACAATTTAATCTTTTTTTTTTTTTTTTGGCCTATGAGATTGTATGAGAGTTTTCTCTCCTGATACCCACCACTTCTGACACCAACTAGGTGCCTTACAATTTCATTCAATTCCAACACTAACCACCAGAGTTTGCATCAGAATCCGTAGGTTTTAGAGCTTAGTCCCACAAGACTGCCCTCCCTTCAGATGTCAGTGGTAAATATCAGGTCCCCAGGTTATCCACACTTCTATCCAACGTGGTTTCAAAGTCTGGTGTTTCCACAACCCCCTTCCCCCACTCAAGTTCAGTAATTTGCCGGAATAACTCACAGAACTCGGATAACACTTTCCTTACCATTTCAGGTTTATTGTAAAGGATACATACGAACAGCCAGATGAAGAGATACAAGGCTGAGGTCCAGAAGGGTCCAGAGTGCAGGAGCTTCTGTCCCTGTGCAGTTGGGGAACACCACCATCCTCACACATGGATGTGTTAACCAATTCAGAAGCTCTCTGAACCTTAGTGTTCAGGGGGGTTTATAGAGGTTTTATCACGTAGGCATGATCAATAACTAATCCAACCTCTAGCCCCTCACCCCTCCTTGGAGGTTGGAAGGTGGGGCTGAAAGTTCCAGGCTTCTGATCAAGGCCTGATCTTTCTGGTGACCAGCCTCCATCCTGAAACTATCCAGGGGCCCCCCAAGAGTTGCCTCATTAGAATAAAGGACAAGATGATCCCTATCACTCAGGAAATGACAAAGAATTTAGGAGCTCTGAGTCAGGAACCAGGGACAAAAATCGAATATCTTTCTACAGTATCACAGATTGGCAAACAATTAAAGATGAGTGATTTGTAGGAGAAGTTGAGATTCTAGAGTGAAACTGCCTGGCTTCAAATCCCAAATCTAGTGAATGAATTTGGGAAAATTGCTTAATTTTCACTAAACCTCGGGATTCACATCTGGGAATAGTTCATATGGGGAAACAGTTCATATGGCTATCATGAGGTTCTGTAAGATAATGGGTCTTTAGTGCCTGGCCATGAAGAACATAAATCTATATATGAGTGGATGATTCTGATCCCTGACAGGACATGTATAGCAAAGTGTGTGCCAAAAGTTGTGTTCTTCTAATGATATGACTATTTCAATATCAACTTTAGCTTGCTGAGAGCTTCATGTTTACCACTCCATCCTTTCCTCAGGGAAACTGTAGAATTAGAGAATACAAGCTCTAGACTCCTGAGCTATTATTAGAGTTATAGTCATTGACTGGTTAAGTGTTTTCCAGTGTCAGTCTAGCATTCTGAGGAGGAGAGTCTTGAATATTTAATTTTCTTTAGCACTTACTTTATTTTCAGGTTCAGGTTTAGGAAAAAACCAAGAGATTCAGTAGAGAAGGAAGAAAATCCCAAAGTTCTAATAACTTCATTCTGATAAGATCTCCACCCCATTTGGTGACCTGAAAACCAGCTGCATCAGACTCTACGAGGAAACCAAAGCCTTTCCTGAGGAACTGGACCAAGCCTGACGATGAACACTAAGATGACTCTGCTATTGAGAAACGCTTGTCATAGAGCACACTCCAGATAATCTCCTTAATTTTAATAAAAAACCATTTCTAGAGAGTCCACCTTCTTAACAAATTCGATGAAATGGGTTCATACGATTTTTTGAAAATTGTGTGGGTCAAGGGCCAGTAAATCCATACAAAGATTAACACTCATTTCCAAACATACAAACTCTATTCACATAAAAAGAATGTCATTGTATTAACACAACTATCAGGTGACAACACTATGTGTGTGTATGTGTGTAAGTGAACCAGCACATTCAAAATTACAGTCGTGTTTGAAGTGAACTCATATACTGCTGTAACTAAATGATTAGATGCAGTATTCCTATCCAGAAAATTTTATACAATCCTTTGCGGTGAACTGATGGCAGATATTAATAGTGTTTTACAAGTGAAATGCCGCAGGAGATCAAGTAGCATGGGTCATATGACCTGCTGGCCTTTAAGAAGGGAACCCAGGCAGTTCCCTGCTACGATTTCAGCGGCTATGACTCAAGGCCTTTTGAAGGGTTCGCAGTTGTTGGGATCTTTTTGAGCACGTGTTTAAACTTTGTTTCTTTAGAGCGGCTGAAGAGGTATTTTGCTAGTAAACAGAGAATCAGGAGAGCCACAAACCAGTTAGGTTGGTAAAGATGGGTTTGTATGCCCTGCAGCCAAGAGCTACCGGCCCCCAGGAAGGAGGCTGTCCATGCCAACAATCTGGAGAGACTTTTTAAACAGTTCTTTCCATTAATAGATTCCTTCCTAAGCACGGTCTGCAGCTGCTGATCTCTCCAACCAGGGGTGCATCTGGTTTCAGTTCCACAAGTGAGCAGGGGGAAAAAATAAAGGCCTCCGCTGGGGTCATGTGTTATCATAAGCTCAGGAGAGACATGTCAGGTCTCTGTCTCAGCACGTTGTAGGCATGCTGAGATGGCAACAGAGCAGGAGGTTACTCCTGGACACCTGGGAGACATGCTTTCACTGAAAGTGGCCTCTGAGCACAGCACAGTCGTAAGCTCCGGACCCTTCCCTATACCCAGCGCTATGCTATGCGCGTGGAAACAGGTAGCCACTGGTCTTCATACGATACTTGATGGCATCAGCTCCGAAAAACAATTATCCCCAAATGTAAATTTTCACTGTTTTTTAGAGGAACCTTGAAAGTAACATTTTTGATAAGTAGTCCTTATTATTTCAAGTTCCTTATCTTGAACTTTTCTGATTAACCCCCAATTTTTTTCTCTCTATTGCCATATTTCTAACACATATTCTATATCCTCCTGACTCACTGATGCTACCTTTTGATTGTTACTTTAAAATCCACCAGAGGGGCGCCTGGGTGGCTCAGTCGGTTAAGCATCCGCCTTCAGCTCAGGTCATGATCCCAGGGTTCTGGGATAGAGTCCCGCATCTGGCTCCTTGCTCAGCGGGGAGCCTGTTTCTCCCCTGCCTGCCACTCCCCCTGCTTGTGCTTGCTCCCTCTCTCTCTCTCTCTCAAATAAATAAAATTTAAAAAAATAAATAAATAAAGGGGCGCCTGGGTGGCTCAGTCGGTTGAGCACTGCCTTCGGCTCGAGTCATGATCTCAGGGTCCTGGGATTGAGCCTCACATAGGGCTCCCTGCTCAGCAGAAGGCCTGCTTCTCCCTCT